CGTGCCCGATCAAGATAATTTTTGTGTGATGTATCAACGTTGATGCTAAATGATTGCATATGAAGCCCTAAATGAACAAGGGCATCAAACATCAAATTATCTGCTTCAAATAATGATCAAAACTTATTTTAATCTTGTTGAAAACTTATTTTAAACATCATTTGATGCACATTCAAAATATATTTATTGTTTGAATAATGATTGACAATCAATGATAGAAAATTGTTCAAACAAATAGTAAGATTCATCAAGATGCAATCAATTTTTACAGTAAAGGCAAACATAATTAAGTTAACAATAACAAAATAAAGACCTTGGGCACACATACATATAGAGAAAGTCGCACATATATGCAAATGCTAGTCCATTAGCATTGCCATCAACATCTATATATATTAGCAAAACATATACAAAAGAGCTTTGTACAACCAAAATAAAAACACATAATATAAGGATAGACCAAATTCACATATACTGATGGGATCGACAGCATGACACAAAAGTTTCAAAATAAAGAGATGGCAATTAGTCGTCATCACCATCCACAATAGAGGAAGATGGAGGCTTTTCCTTCTTCTTAGGGGAGCAGAAAACATCAGTCAAAGCAGTTGGTGAGTCTAATGAAGCCTTAAGCAAAGCAAGTCCCTAAAATGTTCAAATTTAATAACATACATCAAATCAAAACAAAGTTATAAAACTAAAAGAAATTTAGTAGTTCAATAAAGAAATAACCTCTTCCATGCCGACGGCGACCACCTTCTCCTCCAGTTGGACATCCTTTTTCATGATGAAGTGATTAATAAAAGTGATGCTGGAGATCGCAGACATTAATGTCACTTCCAAATCATCTGCAATCATGTAGGTGAACAAACCCTTTACAAGGCCTCCAACACCCTCCCTTGCATTTCCAGCGCCAACCAAAGAAGCAGAACCCGATGGAACCACCAAGGCGACTTCTGTGACCATCGCACAATTGCATTTTGGGCACATGGTATTTCTCACAGTAGTTACTTTGCTTTTGCAATTAGCACAAAGATAGCATTTGTGCTCAGTAGATCCCGATGGAAACACGAAGGAGGCTTCGTTGACCATCACCTGCTTGCAGTTTGGGCACAAGGTATTTTTCACAGTAGTGATTTTTCTATTGCAATAATTGCAAATATAGTATTTGATCACTACAGTGGTTTTTGTGTCAAGAAGCAAATGATTGGTAACATAAGAAGTGGACACTTTGGGTTGAAGTAAAGAAGTTTTGTCGCTTTGATAATGTTTTCCAATAGATCCAATCATAGATGGAGCAGAGAGGAGCTTAATGACAGAGCCTAGTGGGACAGTAAGAAGGCTGAACATGAAATCTACGAAGTCTTTTCCAGCCTCACCGAAAAGTACTTTGTCGCTACCAGCATCGATCAGAAGTCTGAGAGTAATTTTTGAATTCAAATCTGCCATGCTTTCTCTGTTGATTTGTGAAAATGGGAGGATTTATGAAGACAACAAGCTCATATGAAGTATATATGGAGGTTACTTACGCCTGCTCGTTTGAACTTCCAAGCACGCCTGCTAATTTCGAATTCCGGCGTCAAATCTCTCTACACTTTAAATGTATCATAAATGCTGTATCTTTCTTACACTTTAAATGTACCATAAATGCTGTAGGATTCGAACAGAACCGAGATCATTATTTAAAAAATAAATCAATCCGGTCAAATAAAAAAAAAAAACACAACTCTCTTTGACCTATTGGTTGA